GGTGAGCGATGTGGCCCCTGGGCCTCTTGTTAATATATTGTGTCCAAAATAATTTTATTTCCATGAGCGTTCTTAAGATTCTTATTGGAAAATTACATCAAAGAAAAGGCTTTATTACTTGTAAAATTACAGACGAGTATATTTTTTGCCATTACGGCAAATTATCACCTCAGAAAAACCTTGTATGGAAAGACAACCAATGGATATCCATGTCGTGACATTTATCAAATATTATTTTGAAAATGAAATTTATACGCTTTTAATTTATTGTATTTAGTTTTTCCAAATAAATCTGCATTTTCATCATGGACATGTTCTTATGTCCTTCAGGTGCTCTGGATGCAGTGGCACTCAGTGTTGAAATGGGAAATGGCTAATGGACAGTCATCAATTACCAGCAGCTTACCAGTACATTATGCAGCTCTCCTCCGGAATTTGTATTGGTTGTCTCCAGAGGAAAGGTTGCAGTATAGTTTTCATGTCCTGGCTAGGTAAACGTACTTATATGTAATTCCTTTTAATTAATGACTATATAGAAGCCTGTACATGTACATTTGTAGCATGCCTTAACAAATTAGCAAATCAGTGTCATAGACATCTGGTGCACTCAATGTCTTTGAATTAGGTACATTTTGAAAATTGTCATTTTTTTGTCATTATTTTTACTTGATCTTTTATGCTGTACAGCAAAAATATTTAAATTCATATATTTTTTAACTATATTAGAGCTGACGCCAATTATTTTCTTTGTATGGGCCATCGGTCAAAAATACCCGTGTGCTGTCGAAATTACCCAACACACATATCTTGTAAATCGAACACATTTATTTCTTATTATGACCAAAAATATATACAAAATCAATGTAATCTGAAAGATAAAAGGTATTTCGAAGGAGAAAGGATCCAGTAAAAGTTGCAGCATAACACTGACATTACAGTGACATACTTTAACAAATCTTTTAAAAGTACAAAAAAATAATCGGTTGAAATTACACTACCCTACCCTATATATAAATAGCCAAATTATAAGTAAACTACCAAATAACAAAATTAAATTTATTTACTTTTACAGAAGGTTTTGCAGATAAAAGAATTCTGATTAAAGTTTATTTTTATTCCTGTCTTAAATTATACTATATATTTACAGATCATCACCTTGCTGAACTATATAGAGTCATTTTCTACTCTGTCGGATTCCAAAATTGAAGGCATTGAGGCATTTGCTTCAAGATTTGGACAGATATATGGGAGCATCAAGAAGAAACCCTATGATGTATTGGATCAGAGAAAAACTGATTTTGACAGTGATTTTGATGATTTTCAGAGACAGCTTAGGGATCTAGAGGTTTATCTTTTTTCTTCCATTTATAGGCCATAATATTTCTGATTAGTCTGTAAATTTGCCTGCACCCCACATAAATTGCAGGAGCTCTTATACTGTAGAAATACTTTTTTTCCGCATGGTATTAATTTATGCTATGTATGCGGTATTTTTCCCGCGAAAATTTGTCACATCGAATTTAATACATATATAAGGCATATAATGAGTCTTAAGATATCCGGGTAATTTTCTACCAGCGGCTTGCACAGAAAAAGAGATTCCGTGGAATTATGACCCCATGGAAAAAAGTATGTCTACAGTAGTTCATCAGTATGTCCATCTATTATCAACACATTTGTTTAGGTATATCTCAAAAAGTTTTGCTTAAAACTATGGGTATTAATTTAAATATGGACTATCCGTCATTTTGGTTTTCTGTTTTCAGATTATAATTCTGAATAAAACTAATTTTTTTGGTAGTAGCTTATTTACACATTACGTCAGGTAAATGTAAATGCACAGCATAGTATTAGCCCCTCCTTTTGCTATAATTTTTGTCCTGAAGAAGACCCCATTGATTCTATCAAGACCCTTATAGATTATTATGTCAAAAGGTCAAGGTGAAGATCTACTGTGATCTTGACATAGATCATTTGATCAAGTTTGAGGTCAATTAAAGAATCTGACCATATCCTGTAATGAAGAACATAACAAGCTCATACTTGATCACAACATGTACATATATTCTGATGGTTGGTATTGACTACTCCCTCACTTATATCCAGCTTACACTCATATCCCTAGATGTATAAAGCATTATTTTTACTTATATTTACATTTGTGAATTTTATGGATACATGTTTCCAGAAAACTCCTTCAACTCTTCAAGCATTGAATCTATTAAAAAGGTAAGTTGTATTATATTTTAGTGGTAGATTGCATATAGAAAAGGATAAAAAAAAATTATAATTAAAATTTGATTCAAATGAAATTGTTTAAAGTGTATGACCCCTTCAAAAGTATTTATACAATATAGATATGCATTCCTTTCAGAAGTATTATATAAAGGAAAAAGACAAAGGTAATATTATAAACAATAAAAACTGTAAATTGCTATTGAGCAAGTGTGATTCATTCTTTTTATCATCTAAAGATTCCAAATACATGATGTAATAAGATTAACTACAATAAAGAAACTAGTGCATCTTGTAACAGGAACAGTAATGGATGACTGATGCTCCCATTATGTTGCCTCATTCCTTAATTTTCTTTTTATGTACCGGTATTTTTGTAGATTTGAAAAGCTGCATATTCCACATTTGAACATACAAGACAAGTACAAGACAATTTATTTGCAGTACGAACAAGAGCTTGAAGAAATCAGAAAGGTAAGTTGTTTAGGCTTATAAAGGAGATATGCAGTCTCTGCTCAAAAAATAACAAAACAGATCAACTTAATAACAATTTAAATATAGTAAGTAAAAAGATACATTTTCAGTATAGAGAATTGCTACAACATGAAAAAATAGCATAAACACAGTTGCACCATCACTGGCATAAGATCAAGATTTATTATAATAAAAAAAGAGCCTTTAAAGGTTTCTCAATTCTGAGGAAAAAATCCTTTGATATTGCTTTATAATTATAGATTGGTCAAATAAGGTGTTTTAGTGCATGTAGTTAAACATATTTTGAACTCATTTTCAATGAAAAAATAAGAAACCCAGATATAAATATGGGAGGTTTTTTTTATACAATGTTTCAAAATTTGAGTCCATCAGTATCAATTATGATTCAATGTACATATTTTCTAGAAATGAATGAAAGTTGAAGTATTGGTATGTAATTTTTTTTAGAGAGATTGCAGCTGTAAAAAGTATAAGGATGACACCCAATAGTTAAATACAAAATGTATAACATGCCACTGTGTGTGATTTTGCTTTTAAAAATGTGGGTCAGACAACTTGCTGAGAGAATTCAAGAACCAATGATGATATTTGCAGTAAGATAATTTCTTCAACATATTTTGCAAAATAAGAAGTCACGCATACACAATTTATTGGTATCCCCACCTCATTTGTTCAGGGTGTGCCGTATAATGTGTACTTGATAATTTGTTACTTAACGATAAATATTTCATATTTTCTTTAAATATTTAAAAGAATATGAAAAGAATTAAATCTATTCATATTTGCAATAACATAATGAAAAAATTTGTATGAGGCTCCATGTTTTGCTGATACGTATAATTTAACAATTATAAAAAATAAAAAATAAAATCCGCCCACCCACCCCCATTTTTTAGCAAATTAGGATGAGAATCTATTATTTTAAAATTATTATTTTACCTGGTATTTGATTAAAAGTAAAGTGTTATAATTATGTGTGTAATTAATGTATTATCCCTCCTCCCCCTTTAAAACAAAGATAAATTTGAATAGTCTTTGAACTTGACAGCATTTCAAACATTCTGCTCGAATTTATTAATGATAATTAAAATCTACAATATATTGCAATATATTGCAATATTCAAAGTAAAATATTGCAATATATCGCAATATGGTTTTGACTGGCAATACCCAACTCTAGTGTACATAATTTTTTCCCTTATACATTTTGTTAGTTATTGTACTACTAATTTAACATTCATTGGGTGAATCCATGTAGAAAGAATTGCAGTGTAATTTTGGTTAAAGTGGGATAAATCTAATCGAACTTGTAAAAAATAATCATTGTTTGACACTTAGACAAAAGAAGCTATTTTTAGAAAGATTATCTGTCTTAGGAACCAGTATTTCATGTCCATAATGCATGGATCTGTAGCTCGATCTGCTTTATCTGTCCGAACTTTCTCAAGCAGAGAGCTACAGTCCTGCAGCTATGAATCCTTGAAATAAAGATATTATTCAACCCTTTCATTAAGGCAGCCTGTAAGTCCAAAGAGACTAGCTTGGGCATTTTGAACCTTATCTTCCACTCAGTCCCACAGATGTTCAATGAGAAAAATATGGACTTTACGGAGAACAGTCTAGTGGGTAGATGTGATTGCAAAAAAGTCTTAACAAAGCCAGGCTACATTGGGCTGGAGCGCACATGCCCCAGTGAGAAGGGAAAACTGAACGTAAAGTTGACCAGCTCAAAAATCCAAGTAGTTTTTGTGATAATAAGGTGGAATTAAACAGCTGACAGCATGAATAACCCCGTCTTGACATTCTCTGTTATGCATCAACTTTATCGTCACGCTTGGTTGAACTATTCATGTTCTCTCTGATGATGGTTAACTTTAGACATTCTATTGGGGGAATTTACAAGCAAGAAATCCATATTGTCTGTAAATATTGAAAAACAATGTATATCTTAAATGGTACAAGAAGATGGCTCACTAAGTTGTCATCAAGTTGCACATATTTTTGGCTTTTTAGCACCGTACCTACGTGATGTCATACGTTTCAAGGTTGAGTAAATGTGAACACTGAAACCAAGATTCTCATCTGACTTAGTATTCATTATTTTCGGTCATGTGATCAAAAAATTTTGCTTTTTATGTTACCCTGCATTTCTATTTCCTTTCAGTATAGATAAATGTGTCATAAACATGCACAATGTGTATTTGTAGTTTTAGTCTTACTAGCTGATGGTACACTTAATTTCAATATTTGAGCTTTCTTTTATCCTGTAGATTAAAACTGAAGCCAAGCCAGCTGCCAAGAAAACAGCAAAGACCAAGCCAGCAAAGAAGTAAACAGAGGATAGTAAATGGCAACTCTAATCTGTATGACTGAACATTACTAAATAGTGTCAGGATTTAATTTATTGTTGTCCAAATAAAGTATCTTCTGGTTGATAAGTGTGTTGATGTGTCTATTTTGGAAAAGGTATGTTTACAAGGAATCTTTTAAAAGAAGCACTGTTCAAAACAAAAAAGCCAAAATCCTCAAAGCTGGTACAAAGCCTCCCCGGGTGATCCCAAGTGCAAGCCCCTCTCCAAGGGGAGATAATAATTAGGTAAAAATAGGATGAGTTTATGGAAACATAAAAAAAACAATGTGGAATTTCCCAGGGTACTGTAAATCCTGAATTGTTCAGTTCTTGGTGGCTGGTGAAAAGGTGGGGCCATGATAGGAAATCACTTTTACATTGAAATATATGATAATCTTTTAAAATCTTCTGAAGAACCACTCAAACAGAAAAACTGAAATGAAAGCTTCCTGAGTTAGTTTTGTTCCAAACTGATCAAATCCAGTCCCTTGTGATGGAGGAAAGGGTTGCACAATGTAAAGGAATCAAATTTTTACATGGAGATGTATAAGAAAATCTTCTCCAAATGCACTGGATCAGAAAAGATAGAAGTCGAATGCCTCTTAGGAAGTGTAGACTAAATTGTCAGATCATTGCCTCCAGCATGGGGTCACTAAAGGTAATGGAAGTGTTACATTAAAATAAACATGTAAAGGAAAATCTCAAACACTGGATCAAAATAGCTGAAAATCCTGGAAGGATTCCTGTGGAATTGTAGGTTATTCAGATCATGATCCCAAGGTCTAGGGTGGGGTCACTACATGGGATACAATTTTACATTTTTATGCCCCCACTGGGAGAATGGGGTATACTGTCTTACCCTTGTGTTTCTGTCTGACTAGCAAATTTTCATTCACAGTTTTTACAGGAACTACTGATTATGCTTGAAATTTTAACACTTTCTTTGCTGAGGCATGCTATATAGTGGGATTTATTTTAAGCTCACCTGAGCTGAAAGCTCAAGTGAGCTTTTCAGATAACCCTTCTTCTGTTGTCTGCTCCTTTCCTTCCATCTGTAAACTTTTCACATTCTCAACTTCTGAAGAACCACTGGGCCAATTTTAACCAAACTTGGTACAAAGCATCCTTGAGTGAAGGGGAGTTTAATCGTTAAAATAAAGGACCAAGACCCCTTACTGGGGAGATAATCAAGAAAAGACAAAAATTGGGTGGGGTTATTAAAAAAAAAATCGAGAGATTTACTGGGCCAGAAAAGCTGAAACAAATGGAAGCATCCTGGGGTATTGTATATTCTTAATTGTTCAAATCATGACCTCCGGGATAGGGCAAGGGTCACAACAGGGAATCAATTTTTACATAGAAATATAAAGGGAAAAAATTTCTTCCCAAGAACCACTTGGCCAGAAAAGCTGAAACTTATATAGAACATCCTGGGGTAGTGTAGATTCAAAATTGTTAAAATCATCACCCCTAGGGTTAGGGTGGGGCCGCATAAGTGAATCCAAGTTTTACAATGAAATATGTTTGAAAAATCTTCTCAGGGACCCACTGGGCCAGAAAAGCTGAGATTTATGTGGAAGCATCCTAGGGGTAGTGTAGATTCTAATTTTTTCAAAGCATTACCCCTAGGGGTAGGGCGGAGTCACAATAGGAAATCCAAGTTTTACATTGAAATACATGTATATAGTAAAATCTTCTCAGGAATCACTGGGCCAGAAAAGCTGAAACTTATGTGGAAGCATCCTGGGGTATTGTAGATTCTAAATTGTGAAATTCACGACCCTCGGGGAGTAGATGTGAGGCCGTACTAGGGAATCCAAGTTTTACATTGAAATGAATACGAAAAAACTTCTCAAGAGCGACTGGGCCAGGAAAAATGAAACTTATGTGGAAACACGTTCGGTAGTGTAGATTCTATTACATGTATGACAAAATCGTGTCCCCTAGGGGGAGGGCGGGGCCACAATAGGTATTGCAAGGGTGAATCTGGTTAAGAACAGCATGGCCAAAGTTACTCAGGTGATCAATGTGGCCCATGCACCTCTTGTTAGATCCAAATCTAACAAGGGGATGCCCGGCATGCTGTCCCTGGATCCGCCTTTTTAGCTCACCTGAGCCGAAGGCTCAAGTGAGCTTTTCTGATCACATTTTGTCCGGCGTCCGTCTCTGTCTGTCCGTCTGTCTGTAAACTTTTCACATTTTCGACTTCTTCTCAAGAACCACTGGGCCAATTTCGACCAAACTTGGCACAAAGCATCCTTGGGTGAAGGGGATTCAAGTTTGTTCAAATGAAGGGCCACGCCCTTTTCCCAAGGGAGATAATCATGAATTTGTTAAAAATTAATGGCATTTTTAGCTCTACTGGTCAGAGACCAGAAGAGCTTATGCGATAGATGCGTCCGGTGTCCGTCCGTCTGTCCCGTCTGTCTGTCTGTCTGTAAACAATTTTTCAAAATGCTACTCCTCCTACAGTTTTGATCTTATTTCAATATAACTTGGCACACAAGTAGACTACATTAAGGTACATAATTCTATGTATCCGTTTTTGATTTCGACGAAGGGTGTTGGCGTTGTTACTAAAAATAGAAATTTCTGTGAAATTCTTTCAAAATGCTACTCCTCTTACAAATTTGGTCTGATTTCAATATTACTTGGCACACAAGTAGACTACACTAAGATACATAATTCTGTGTATCGGTTTTTGATTTCGACGAACGGTGTTGGCGTTGTTACTATAAATAGAAATTTCTGTGAAATTCTTTCAAAATGCTACTCCTCCTACATATTTGGTCTGATTTCAATATAACTTGGCACACAAGTAGACTACACTAAGATACATAATTCTATATATCCGTTTTTGATTTCGACGAACGGTGTTGGCGTTGTTACTAAAAATAGTAATTTCTGTGAAATTCTTTCAAAATGCTACTCCTCCTACAAATTTTGTCTGATTTCAATATAACTTTGCACACAAGTAGACTACACTAAGATACATAATTCTGTGTATCGGTTTTTGATTTCGACGAACGGTGTTGGTATTGTTACTAAAAATAGAAATTTCTGTAAAATTCTTTCAAAATGCTACTCTTCCTACAGTTTTGGTCTGATTTCAATATAACTTGGCACATAAGTAGACTATACTAAGATACATAATTCTGTTTATCGATTTATGATTTCGACGAACGGTGTTGGTATTGTTACTAAAAATAGAAATTTCTGTAAAATTCTTTCAAAATGCTACTCTTCCTACAGTTTTGGTCTGATTTCAATATTACTTGAGACTAAAGTAGACTTCTCTAAGATACATATTTCTGTTTATCTGTTTTTGATTTCGACGTTCGGTGTTGCCGTTGTTACTAAAAATAGAAATTTCTGTGAAATTCTTTCAAAATGCTACTCCTCCTACAAATTTTGTCTGATTTCAATATAACTTTGCACACAAGTAGACTACACTAAGATACATAATTCTATGTATCCGTTTTTGATTTGACGAACGGTGTTGGCATTGTTACTAGAAATAGAAATTTCTGTAAAATTCTTTCAAAATGCTACTCCTCCTACAGTTTTGGTCTGATTTCAAATATAACTTGGCATATAAGTAGACTACACTAAGATACATAATTCTGAGTATCGATTTTTGATTCCGACGAAAGGTGTTGGCGTTGTTATTAAAAATAGAAATTTGAGTTGTTAAAATTCTTTCAAAATGCTAGTCCAATGCTACTTCAAATTCAGTTTTAATCTGATTATAATATAATGTGGCATGATAAGACTGACACTAAGAACATAAAGAGACTTATTCAAGGATCATTATTCTCTTTTTTGCTAGTGTAAAGTTTCAATGCCCAACTGCTTAAGTACTTTCCTCTTCCTTTGCTATAAGTACAAACCAGTAGAGCTACAGTCTCGACAGAGACTTCTGGTTAAAAAATCTTCTTCTCCAGAACCACTGGGCCAGGAAAGATGAAACTCATGTGGAATCATCCTCAGGTAGTGTAGATTCAAGTTTGTTCAAATCATGACCCCCGGGGCAAGGGTGGGGCCAAAATGGCCGACCCAAGTTTTACATAGGAATATATAGGAAAAATCTTTAAAAAATCTTCTTTTCCCAGAACCACTGGGCCAGGAAAGATGAAACTCATGTGGAATCATCCTCAGGTAGTGTAGTTCAAATTTGTTCGAATCATGACCCCCGGGGTAGGGTGGGGCCAAAATGGCCGATCCAAGTTTTACATAGGAATATGTAGGAAAATCTTTAAAAATCTTCTTCTCCAGAACCACTGGGCCAGGAAAGATGAAACTCAGGTGGAATCAACCTCAGGTAGTGCAGATTCAAGTTTGTTGAAATCATGACCCCGGGGCAAGGGTGGGGCTAAAATGGCTGACCTTAGTTTTAAATTGGAATATATAAGAAAAATCTTTAAAAATCTTCTTCTCCAGAACCACTGGACCAGGAGGAAGATCAAACTCATGTGGAATCATCCTCAGGTAGTGCAGATTCAAGTTTCTTCAAATAGTTTGACCCCCGGGGCAAGGGTGGGGCCAAAATGGCCGACCCAAGTTTTACATAGGAATATATAGGAAAAATCTTTAAAAATCTTTTTCCTCAGAACCACTAGGCCAGGAAAGATGAAACTCATGTGGAATCATCCTCACATAGTGCAGATTCAAGTTTATTCAAATCATGACCCCAGGGGCAAGGGTGGGTCAAAATGGCTGACCCTAGTTTTACATAGGAATATATAAGAAAAATCTTTAAAAATCTTCTTCTCCAGAACCACTGGGCCAGGAAAGATGAAACTAATGTGGAATCATCCTCGGGTAGTGTAGATTCAAGTTTGTTCATGACCCCCGGGGCAAGGATGGGGCCAAAATGGCCGACCCAAGTTTTACATAGGAATACATGTACCGGTATATAGGAAAAATCTTTAAAAAATCTTCTTCTCCAGAACCACTGGGCCAGGAAAGATGAAACTCATGTGGAATCATCCTCAGGTAGTGCAGATTAAATTTTGTTCAAATCATGACCCTTGGGGCTAGGGTGGGGCCAAAATGGCCGACCCAAGTTTTACATAAGGATATATAGGG